CTTTGCAGAGAAGCTGGGTCTGCGCAGCCAGCCCGGAGAGGCAGCTCTCAGCCAGGGTGGCAGTGAGGTCTGCCTCCAGGGGGCACCAGTTATGTGAGCTTGTGTGGCATGGTGGCTCTGCCTTGGATTTGCTTAGTTATTTTCTAGCATTTTCTTCCATACATATCAGCTAGAATCGCAAAACTATTAACAGAGTACCCCCCCTTAGTGACTCAGCACACCCCCCACACCCTTCCTTTGATTCCTCCAGCAGTCCTGTGGAGGTGTATCTGTCATTGTCTGCAGGTGAGGGAACAGACTAGAGAAGGAAAGCAGCTTGTCCAAGGTAAGGATTAGGTCTCTTAATTTAAAACAGACTTGGCTGCGGTGTTGCCCTCACTGCCCACGTTCTGCTGCATCCGATGAAGACTTAGTTCTCTCAAGCCCCGGTCTCCCACCGGCACTGCCGTTGCTGCTTCCTTGGCTTAGGGCCTTGAGTTTATTTGATTGAACCAGTGTGGAGTTGGGGCTGTGTGTGATGAGATTTTGTCTCGTTGGGTCTGGTAGAAGCCTAAGACAGCAGGCATGATGGTGGTGCTGGTTGCAATATTCTGAAGTGGGAGTCCACTCTGGTTTGAGGGAATTGCTTAGTATGACCCTGAGAGGAGGCAGGATAGAGATGGAAGAGCCCAAGGAGAGGGGTTTTCTACTAATGGTTGCAAATGGCGGGGATTTTTCTTTCTACTCATGTCAAGTGGCAGAAAGGATATCTCCTTATGAAGCTTAAGGGACTGGCTGTAAGAGGCCCACACTGGGAACAGGGGGATGGATCCATTTGTGACGGTAGAGAGAAAGAAGGCTGTGGCGGGGCCTATAGCTAGCAGTGAGCAGAAGATCTTCTCTAGAGGTTGTTGTCAAGCCCGCCTGGCTCCAGAGTGCTTGCCAGGCAGAAGAGGCTGGGAGTGTCTCATGGGGTACAGAGGGGTCACAGCTGTCTGCTGACGCAGGAAGTGACCTAGTGACACCACTGGGTGCCCAGCCTGCAGTCTAGAGGACAACTCTCCCTGCTGCTCAGTGGACAGTCAGGGACCTGGAAGAGCCCGTTCTCTGCCTGGTTTCAAGGGGAGGAGCTTAGTTGAAAGTGGAGTTTGGAGTTGAGATTATTAATCAGTGAGGGACATCTTAATTACTAAACCCAGGCCATTCTTAGAACGGAGAGTCCTTGGGACTGAAAAATGTTCTGAGATCTGAGAGTGACCTGCAGTGTCTGCGGAGCTCCCAAACTTTCGTAGTTACAGAGGTGGGGAAGAGGGTGAGTCTGCAGATGGAATTTTGAAAAGGGGGATCGGGAAGAGTTGGACAGGGCAGTGACAGTGTGTCTGGAGCCTGTTGTCATTGGGACACGTCAATCAAGTAATCAAGCCATGCACCTTGGGAACCTCTAATTTTCCAGGTTGTTTTCATTTTCATTTGCTTGGTCTTGTATTTTTCTCTAATTACTCCATCACCCTGTCAGATGTCTGTCCTCTCTCTCCCGTATCCCGATCTGGTCTGGAGGATTTCTCTGAGAGTTTTTTTTTTTTTCTTTTTTTTCTCTATCTTCCCTGAGCATCTTGGTTCCTCATCTGTCATGTAACCTGGGTGGGGAAAGCAGAAAAGAGACTTTAGTATAAGGATTCTGAGTGGGTCTCAGAACTTCCTGCCAGGGTTGAAGAAGCAGGTGTGGTACCTCCAGCCCACTGCAGGTAGTCCAGTGCTGCACACTGCTGTGGTGGGCGAGGGCAGCAGCTGATGCTCCTGTCTTGATTTGGGATGTAAGTGTGGTTTGGAGCTATCCTCCTAGAGTCATGTTCTAATCAGAGTGTAAGTGCGTGAGTCTGTGTGTGTGTGTGTGTGTGTGTGTGTGTGTGTGTGTGTGTGTATGGGAGGGGGGTGCCACAGCATTTGTGTGAAGATCAGAAAACACCTTTTTGGGGAGCCAGTTCTCTTCTTCCATCGTGTCTGTTCCTGGGATGGATCTCAGGTCATCGGGCTTAGTGGGAAGCGCCTTTCCGCACTGAATCATCTCACCGGCTCCTAATCGGAGTGCCCTGATTAGCATTATGTCCTTGCTTTGCTGTTTTTAGTTTTAGACAAGGTTTCACTGCGTAGTTCCATTGCAACCCTTCTGCCTCTGAATGCTGTGATTATAGACATGTGTTATCATGGCTGGCACAAGTATTTTTAATTTTTTGTAACTTAACAAATTTTAATTGAGCTGTGAGGTACACATGCTTCTAGTTGCCAGGGTACCAAGGAACAGGCCATGGCCATGGTTGTGGCTACAGGGCTCACGTTCTACAGGGGAGAGTGCAGTCAGTCATCTAATGATTAGATTAAAATGGAAGTTTCCCAAATGGTGGTCCATAGGAAAGAAAAATCAGGGAAGTGGCTTGTGGGCTGTCCTGCAGCATGGGCAGTAAAGGGAAGCTGACATTGTTAGCATCTTTGGGGTTTCCACGTCAAAAGTGTGCATGTGTGTGCATGCACATGCTCCTTTGTGTGAACTGGGGGAGGGGGGGACTTCACCATATAAGGTAATTTTCCCAGTGGAAGGAAGGTGTTCAGGTGCAAGACACCAAACAAACAAACAAACAAACAAAAAAACCCCATTTACCTTGTGTTTTCCTTTCTCTTGGTTTAACCCCACAGTTTGCTATGGCATGTTTTCCTGATTTGTCTCAATTTTGATAGCGTCAATAAGAGCTAACACACTGTTTTGATGACTTTGTCTGAATTAATTCATTCTTCTAACCTGCAGAAGGAAGTAGGTATATCTAGTAATGATGCCCATTTGACAGATGAGAAAACCGAGACGCAGTGATGTTAAATGACATGGTTGTGAAACCAGGGTGGTTTGGCTGAGGGGCTTGACCCTATGGCTTTTGAAGATGGTATGCGTGTCTTCCAGTGCCCCATGCTGCTGTGACATCCTGCTCTGTGTTGGCCCAGACTCTGTACAGATTCTCTAGGCCCCTCCTCTATCCCTTCAGTCGTTTGTATTTTAGGTTTCTAAGTACTCTGTGTCTTTAGTGTTTTGGAATTTCTCAATGATGTGCTTTGGTGTGGGCTTTTCTTTAACTGGGCTGGGTGTTCAGTGGGCCCTTATTTCTGGATAGTCATGCCTTTCTGTTTTTGTTTGTTTGTTTTTTAATTTTCCCAATTCTATTACTCTGTTGTCATATTCTGGAACTCTCACTAATTGTACATTTTTGCTTCTTCTATTACTCTTTTAATTCTCCTGTCTTTCCCCTAGTACCTCTTTGTCTTTTTAATCTGCTTTCTGAGAATTTCCTGAACCTGGTCTCCCATTTTAATTTTTCACTTGGGCTATTTTAAGTTGCAAAATCGCCCTGTTGGTCTCATGTGGCTCGCTTTTGCATTCCATCTGTTGATGTATACAGTATTTTGGGGTTTTATTAAACCACATTTCCCCCTATTCTCTGCCTTCCTGTTTCCATTTATACAATTCTTTTATTTATTTATTTAGAGGCAGGGTTTCTCTGTGTAGCGCTGGCTGTCCTGGAACTCACTCTGTAGACCAGGCTGTCCTGGAACTCAGAGATCCGCCTGCCTCTGCCTCTGCCTCCCAAATGCTGGGATTAACGGCGTGTGTTACCATGCCCAGATAGCCATTTGTATAATCCTTATTCGTTGGTTGGTTTCCTTCCTCCAGGCTGGGGGCTTTCCTCACCTGCTTACGCCTTCCATCTTATGCCTGTTTGAAGATGTTGGCTGCCCTGACCCATCACTTTCCACTGTTCATTACTCCTGGGGTCCATGCTTCCTCCTTTCTCAGCCTGGTCACCCTGTTTCTCAGACACCCTCAGCCCCAGCCCTCGGTCATATTCATGGTCAGGCTTCTGCCCTACCCTGGTTAGAAACAACTGAGTCTGTCACACAGTGATGAGGAAATCACCCCCAAATGATCCAGTCTGGATGGGTGAGCTCAGGGCTGCAGGTACTGTCCAGGCCCAGCCTCCCTGCCTTTTGTGCATCCATCCACTTTTTTTTAAAGATTTTATTTATTTATTATGTATACAACATTCTGCTTCCATGTATATCTGCACACCAGAAGAGGGCACCAGATCTCATTACAGATGGTCGTGAGCCACCATGTGGTTGCTAGGAATTGAACTCAGGACCTCTGGAAGAGCAGTCAGTGCTCTTAACCTCTGAGCCATCTCTCCAGCCCCCTCCATCCACTTTTTTATCTACAGCCCCGGCATCCTGTCTTCACAGCCACCCCTCTTCCCTCAGCTGCTGCTGCATTGGTCTCACATGACCTCACGCCATTGTTGGGAGATGTCCACTCTGGGTCACCTGGCTGCCTCCTTGCATCAGCAGCTCCGCTTCCGTAGTTCAGTACTGACCCTGGGCACAGTCCTGTGTCTCTACCACCACCTTCTGGCTGTGCAGCCCTGCACTGCACCTCTGTTTGGTCCTTGCAGGGTCTCCCTGCTGTTTGTTGTCTGGACTTCTGTGTACTACATTCTATTTCTAGCTGCTGGGGTAAGTTGTTCTCACACGGTGACACCACAGCATCTCTCTGTCTAGATTCCTGTGGCTGTTCTCTCTTCTGCTCTGCCCTGCAAGGCAGACCTGAAGCCCATGTCTGTCGTCTGTATTACCCTGCCTCTCTCACTGCCCCTGTGCTGAGATGGCCCCACGGTTCTGTGAGTCAGTGAGTGAGTCTGTCCCCTTGGCAGGATGTTCACACGGCCTCCTCTCTGCTGAGTGAGCTCCCCTTGCCATAGCTGACTCAGGTTTGCTTATGTGTCACTTACTGGTGAGGCCCCCTGCTGCCCGGTCCTTTCCTGTTTGCTCCATTCATTGGCTTTCCACTGCAGCCCTTGTCATTACTCAGCATTTGGTCATCCTTTACTAGCAACCATGAGAGCCTCACAAGCAGCTAGCGTGCGTTCCTTCGCAGGGCGGGCAGTGTCTGCTGCAGTTGGCCTTGATCACCAGGTGGGTGGAGCCCTGACAGCCCCCTCTTCCTCTTGGCTGTGGTGGTGCTGTATGTCCACCTCTCTAGGGACCCAGGACCACTCCTCCTCTATCTCTGTACTATCTGAGGCCAAGGACCTAGCACAGCATTAGGCTTGACCACTGTTGATAGGAATAGACACATAGTCTATTTCTGGTTAATCTTGTCTGGGCCTTAGCATGGTGTAGAAGATTGGGGGAGGCGTGGTGGAAGGAGATTTTCGTGGACCTGAATTTTCACTGTTTTGAGAACTGGGGCGCTATGTAAGTATTCTGGATATTTTTCTTCTGTAAACTGGAGTGCTAATCTGTGTCTAGGCTCCTAGAGGGTCTGGGTCAGATACTGGATAGGGAAGGCCTTCTAAAAACACAGCTGTGCTAGAGTATTAGCGGAACCCATGTGCCTTTGTGCACAGTGCCCCTGGTGGAGATCCTGGGCGCCACACTCAGCTGTGTTCATCGAACTCACAGAACCCACCTCCTCCCATCTTGCTGCTGAAGACGCTGACTTACTGGGGATGAATGACCTGGTGGCCATGCTTGGACCTGCAGTGTCTCTTAGGCTCAGCTCTGACTCCTACCTGCTTCGGACCTTCTTTGTCTTCAGAGTGACAACAATAACAACTTCCCAATTGCTGTTTCCAGTTTTCTCAGTAATTTTTTGTTTTTTTGTTTTTCTATGAGAATTTCATGCAATGTATTTTGCTCATATTCACGCCTTCTCCCAACTTCTACGCATCCAGCTTGGTGTCCCTTTGAAAACATCGAGTCTAGTATACTCTTGGGTGTCTGGTCATCCACTAGAGGGAGGTTGATCTACCAGGAGACAACTGTCTCCCTGTCCCAGAGCCTATCAGTTGTCAATAGCTGTTAGGCCAGGGGAGGGGCTTCATGCCCATCTGCCTTCATTAGGCTGGGATTTTGCCTGGCTTGAGATTGCACATGTCTTGGAGGAGGGTGTGATATAGATGTCCTGTTAAAGCCTGGGCATTCCATAGTCTCATCTCATCTGCACCTTAGTCAGTTCTGGGTCTCCTTGTTAACCACTGTCTACAGAAGAAAGACACTTCTCTGATGAGGACCAAAGGATGTGCTAATAATCTATGGGTATAACGATAAGTCCTGGGGAGTTACTTTGATATTCTGCATTTAGCAGAATAGTAGTAGTAGTTTCTTCCCTGGGACCTAGGACCTGCAGCTTTTTGGTCCCAATAATGTTGCTGGGTCTGGCTTTCTTTTTTGTGGAGGGAACCTTTAAGTTTGTTCAGAAAGTGGTTGGTTACTCCCATGGTGCCCATGCTACTTTTGGACCAGTGGACATGTTTTGCTAGACTGGTCATCACTGTAACTTTTATATTTGGCAGTTGGGTAAGATTGATGATGACTTTTCTCCTCTGGTAGCATGCATAGTCCCTTCCAGCACTATGAAAGCTAGCCAATAGGGATGACATTTCCAGGTGAATACCAGCTTGATCTCTCCACGTTCTGTGACTCACTGTATAGCATCTTCAGCAATGGAGTTTTACCACTTAGCATTTTTGCCTTGACTAGATCTTCTTAAACTGGAGCGTCGCATAGCTGAATGTGGTGTTTGTGAAAAATGGCAATAATTGGAGTTTTCTGAATATGCAGTGATCAAAAATCAATTCAGAATCCAACATGTAAGAGTCTGAGGTCTTTTGGGCAGTGCACACCTGTAATGCTGCATTGGTTCTAAACACACAGCACATGTGTTTGCACTGCTGTGCAGTCATGCTATGCAGCACCAGCAAATGCTGCCAAGACACCTCGGTTCAGTTCAAGACAGTTGTATGTTATAAAAAGGCAGAGTTTTACTACGTGTACATTTTTTTTGCTTTTATAGGAGCATAATGGTTTAATTATAGGAAACAAATACTTTTAATATTTTTCTACTGTCATTCCTTAGCATGTACTAAATTATGTATCTTTGGAGTATACAGTGTTAGGATGATTTTTAAAATTGCTGTGTAACATTGCCTGAAAATATGGATAATTTTTTCTCTTCTTTTCATATGAATATCCCTTTTACTTTTGTTTCCAGTCCTAAAGTTAATACTTTAGTTAAGACTTTGGGTAATACAGTGAATAAAAATGAGAGAGTGGAAATCTTTGTTTTAGTTCTTAGTTTAAGAGAAAAGCCTCATACACTTTCCAACTTACGATAACATTTTCTATAGGATTCCTTAAACAGTTATTCTTTTGAAAAAAATTGCTGTGTAAGTTGCTGACAAATTTCATTTAAAAAATTGGTAGATGAAATTTGGCTTTGGATTAGGACAAAATTTCCAACCATTTCTGAAATGGCCCTACACACATTTCTGCTATTTTGCACTATATATTTATGCAAAGTGGCATTTTCAGCATGGCATGTTATAAAGTCAAAGTATAAATCAGTTCTGAAACATGTTGAAGATGTTTATATAAAAACTCCTTGTATAAAGATAAGTGCCTATGGAGACTCCAGGCGACTGAACTAGTCCCTCCATATGTGGGAGATAGCTGTGAAACTTGGACTAACTGAGGGCACCTAGAGGAAGACCATGATACAAACCTGGTACATGAGCTAGCTTGTTGGAGCCCACTCCCCATGATAGGAATCCATGCTCAGTCTTAATGCATGGAAGAGGGGCCTGGCCCTGCCCCAAACTATTGTGCCAGACTGTGTTGACTCTTCATGGGAACCCTTACCTGTGAGGAGGAGTGGACTGGGGAGTGGGCTGGGGGCCAGTGAGGGGAGGTGGAAGGAGGTGAGAGGGAGTGAGAATTATGGCTGGAATGTAAAATGAAATAAAAAAAATGGAAAAAAGAAATGAAGCAACAAATAAAAAGTGCATCCACCTCACTAGTATGCAAACACTTTCATCTTTAATAAATGATAAACTTAGATGTATACCAAAGAACTGTTTTGAAGTGAATTTCTCTGTGATTTATTATTAACATTAAATGTTTGGCTTGTTTTTAAATTTATTTTTTCCTTTATTTTTATCTTATGTGCCTGTATGCATGTCTGTGCACCACATGTGTGCAGTGCCCGTGGAAGCATCAGCTCCCCTGGGACTGGAGTTACATATGATTGTGAACCGTCATGTGGTTGTTGGGAATTGAATCTGGTCTTCAGCCAGTGCTCTTAACTACTGAGCTGTCTCTCCAGCCCATTTATTGGTGAATGTTTGATTTGCATCACTGTTTTATATCTCTGTGCCCAGCATTATGTAATTATTTCTCAGGCAAAACAAAATGGCAAGTAGATAAAGTTTGAGGAGCCCTGGTGTAGGCAGTAAATGGGGGGAGGTTGGAAAGGTGGGAGGAGGTGGGGATCTTCATTCCTCCTGGTCATATACTCTAAAGGCTCAGGGGACTCAGGAGGCTCAGGTGTGTCATACAGAGGCTGCAGGGTTCCTGGACCTTGTGGAAAGTCTTCCTTCTTGTTTATTGACTAGTCAAGGGCTTTCTTGCCTTTCAGAGCCTGGCTCAGGCCAGCCCTCTGCTGAGACCTCTGCTTTGTAGCAGAACTCGTGAAGACTCTACATCTCCAGGCTTCGTAACTGGCAGTCACTTGTCACAGTGGTGGTTACAGTGAGCAGGTTCTAACCACATCCTAAACAAGAGGACAGGGCTCAGCCCAGGATTTGGCACATGGGGCATAAGGCCCATGTGCATTGGGGTACATCAGACCCATCCACAGACCAGGCAGTCAGATGCAGGCCTGCCTCTCCCCTGCCCAGGGCTTGGAACCTGCTGCATTGGGAGCAGCGTTGTGACTTGCTGGGGATCCAGCATTACAGCAGAGCTTCAGGAAGCACCACTGTCGAGAAGAACAGACTCATGGCCTGGGAGTATGGGCTTCTGTGCTGGACACTGGTAAAAATTAGGTGTTGCCAGAACAGAGATATGGCTGAACGTGATCGGGATGAGGCTGGGAAGGAAGATTAGCCTTAGAATGTGCTTGGCCTTGAATGACTCACAGAGGACAACAAAGTTGGACCAGGTCTTCAGGTTGTGTCAGTGAAGGTAGGCCCAGCTTTCTCATTCAGTGAGGAACCTATGAAGCACAGAGACCCCCAAGAAACTAGCTTAAGGCCACATAGCAAATCAGAAGGGAGATGGGACTGAGAACCCACATACATGTCAGGTCTGGAACCAAGTGATTCCCTTAGGCCAGTGAAGCAGTTCATTTCCCTATGGTATCTCCATTAGGTAGGAAACAAAGCCTCTAAGAGGTAAAGACCCTTGGCCAAGAACTAGGAAGAGTCCAGTTGGGCTTGACCACAAGTCCTGAACTCAGCTGTGCTTCCCCACAAACAGAGTGAGCTTGTACCTGGGGGTGGAGAGGTACTCCCAAGGAAGGTGAGCTCGAGACTGGCATGGTTAGGCTAGGCATCAGCAAGATTCCACTGGTGCTGTGGTCACTAAGTTCTTGCATAGACCTGGATGGGAAGTCCTTCATTCTTCCCCTGTTGGGTTTACATGCACTTCTAGTAGATGGCCTGGAAGGTCCATGCCGAGTCTGACTTTGTGTGTGTCATGCTGGATTACAGAGGTGCTGGTGGGTGGCTCAGCCCTGAAACCACAAGTGTTTTCCTTTTGGCCCGTCTGTAATAGGGTGTGGGTAGTTTCCATGCTGGGGAGGGTGCAGACAGAGAAACTTAGTGTAAGGAAGCAGAGGGTGGCAGTTGTGTTGGGGCGGGGACTGACCAGCCTCTCCGGCTTGGCCACCAGGGCTGGCTCCACCCCACATGTGATTCTGATTAGGGGCCTGTGTAAAAGTTACCTAAACACTACTCTAATTACTCTGTTTAGGAACATTCGCATGTGTGGGAGGGTGCCTGGCACCGGCTTCCCACATGTGCTGGGGGTCTGCAGGAGTCACGGCGTTTGCACGAGCGTGACAGGCACCGGCGGGGGCGGGGGGGTGGGGTGGAGGCTGTGAGACAAATCAGAGAGTCCTTCCCTGAGTTCCAGCGTCCTGGCTGGCCCTGGGTAGGCTTGGCTGCTCTGGGCACCGCTTCTGGCTGGTAGGGGAGGACATTGAGGAGTTAGGTGCCCTATGCAGAAGTGGATGTTTCTTGTCCTCTGGGATTGGGTTCTGGACACTTCCCTCACCTTTCAAAGGGGTTCCATGTCAGCCCACCTGTCTTCTGCAGGCTTACTACGAGGGCGAGGAAGCTGGAGCTCTCGAGAGGGCATGAAGGCAGTGCTGCACAGCGCGGCACATACTGAATGCAGACTAACGGCTGTGGGCT